CTCCTCGGCAATGCACATCCACGATCTCACTCCACAAGACACAAACCCAGGAACTATCGGTCTAGCGCGCGAACACTTAACCTCTAGACCAATGAGCCGGTATCCAATAGTGTTAATGTCTAACTTCAACCAATCCATGAAATTGCTTCAATGTCCACCGTAACATAATAGATATCAAGTTTAGTTACAATTGGCAGGTCAAACAATGAATTTAATTGTCTCTCTAATCTAGGGATAAAAGAAATTCAATAAAACCCATGTGTTTATTTGTTTTATTAATGGAAGATAATTTTTCTGGTTCCCTTTTATGACTCATAAACTATTGATTAGTATAGTCAATAAATGGAATGATGGCCAATAAATTCTACACAGTCATATAATGTTGGTCAAGTGGTAATTAGTCCGGATACTAGTTTATTGACTTAAACCTTTAAATGAACAAGTATCATTAAAACTAGACAACTTGTTGACAAGATATATGAATTAATAAGTATCAACACTCGGTAAACATGATTACTTTATTGATCAAGTCTACTATCTCATAAATAATGTAGGTGATTTTATTCTTACTGTTGAGGTTTATCTTTTTTTGATGTCTGCTTTCAATTCCCGACGTAATGTGTTCTTTGGTCTACTTTTTTTCTCGGTTTCCATTCAGGATTTCAAGTTAGGGCTTGCCTTGTGATACAGTTCGATGAGTTGTACAATGTCTTTTCTGAATTTCTTCTTCATCTAGAAGTTGGTTTGTTCTCTGATACAGTAGACTGTTGTTGATAGTATCCAATCAACTGACATTCAGTATCGTTCGTAAACAACTACTTATATATACTAGTCCATTTTTGATGATGGTTGTAGCAGTTCTCTAAGTTTCAGCTCCATGCGATAGAATTATCTTGGCATAACAGACATGTTATAGACCACTGGAAAAACCGATTACAGTTGAATTTAATGACACAAAATATTAAGTTGTTCCCAATAGAAACTTTGCTTCGGTAAAAAAAAGGTTTAATAGAGAAATATATATTCAAAAGATTCTAGATTTTTCTAATTAGAAATTTTATGTGTAAAAATGATACTTGACGAAAATTTTGATCGTAACTCAATCATGGACTCTTTAGCAGAGTACATCTATGACCTTCTAGGAGGTTAAATACAGAACCTTCAAGTCTCTTAGTGAGTTTCTGACCTTTGGACTACGGAATCAACAGCCACTGGTTTATATTTTCACTCCATTTGTATTTGATTAGTTTAGGCTTCTAACACCAATCTCCAGGTGTTATTCATACTTCCAAACAGTAAGGTATTGGAATTCCATCATATATTACTAATGGTTTAATCTGTAGACGTAAGATGTGATTAAGTATTACTATCTATATTTTACTTGTATCTCCCCTTTATTTTTCACACAAACTGGTATTAAAGACATTATGTCACAGCAGCTATCAATGAAGTAACATTCTGTACATCATCTAGATATGATGCTTCTCTTAATTGTTACAGCTTATTTCATAAGGGATAAATACCTGGTCTTCACAAATAAACTATCCAGCTTACTGGATCTATCACCATCAAAGCCTTCCTTCTAAACTACGAAATTGTTCTCTCTTATCATTAAAACCTCTGAAAGATACTGCACTTAAACGATATATAGTTGCATATAAACATGTTACAATCCAGTGTTTTCAACTTTATAAGTTTCAAATATTAAAACAATATCACTGTAAATGTTGCTATTGTTCAGTTAATTCCAACCACTTCTATAAAACAAGATTTGTATCAACCCATTCCCTATTCACGGAATGTTATGATTGTTAGTTTGCTCACTATTACTCATTAATTGAGCATTTAAACAAACCTATATTGTTATCATTGCTGTTATATTACGAATTCATATTGATGAAAATCATTGTCTTTAATGTTGTCTAAAATTTACATAACTCATCTAATAACTCAACTAAATGGTGGTCTAGAGATTAAGCATTCTCGTATGAGACTGATAGGTCCTGGGTTCGAATCCCGCGGAGTGAGATCGTGGATGCACACTACTGAGTAGTCCCATACTATGACGAAATGGCTGTTCAGTGCTTTCAGGTCTTCTATTGTTAAAGTGCTAATTTCGTCAGGAAATGTGAACAAAGAATAAAAAAGAAGTATTATAATACTAGATTACGTAATACGAATAATAACAATAGATTTAGTGAATGTAATAAAATGATTAAACTATTTTTGTTACAATAATTAAAGTTCATTAAAGGTCATAGAGGGGTATAAAATAAATAAAGTGATATGATGAGCATTTATGAATGAAATAATGAGAATATAAGACATAAGTAGAGGCCAAGCTAACGATAACGATAGGAACGTACTTCTTTTGTACGTATCGTTCTGGTTTAAGCTCATGAATGTTAAGAGCTTCGTCTACTTTTAAGACTTGGATACAAAGAAATCTAGATAGATTTGAACGAATCAAATATACAACCTTAAAATCAAACTGTGAATCCATAGAATGATTATAGTCGATTAAGTATTCAAATATAGAATTCCTAACCGCCTTCCTTCTTTTTTTTCTCTACATTTCAATGTTCTTGATCATCTACTCACAAATATTCCATTTCTAACTAACGTTACCTACTACTTATATCGATCATCACTAATAATATACACCATAGTACAATATCAAAACATAAAAATGAATGTAACCCAAAAAATGTTCATAATTGCCGTAATTTAGTTGATAATCATTGTTTTACAAGTAAATAAACAAACATAAGAATACGAGCCCAGGGCCTTCAGTCTCGCGTGCGAGCGCTTAACCTACTGGACCATTGACTCGGCATCCAGTAGTGTTAATGTCTAACCTCAACCAATCCACGAAGTTGCGTGACCATCTTCCATTGTACTGAGGTAGACACATGTATCTACCCAACACGGATTAGCTCCACTAGTCACAGCTTCTCACTAGAACTCCGAGACTTTTCTCACGAAACTTGTCACTGGTGAGCACATGGTAACTATCAATATGGGGTTGTGGAGATTGTTGGGTTTTTGATTGAGATCATGAACCGATTGATGTTAAACCACCATTGAAAACCTGGAAGCACTGGATGATCGTTTCGTCCTATTGCAGTGACCACTATGGAAGCCGTGATCAGTGGAGTTCAACCAGGTCTGTTTTGAGATGGTAAATCATTGAAGACAATGGTGGACGATGACGCGATTTCGTGGATTGATTGAAGTTAGACAATAACACCATTGGATGCCGCCTTAGTGGTCTAGTTGGTTAAGCGCCCGGCGCGAGACTGATAGGTCCTGCTTTCGAATGTTGCGAGGCGGGGTCGTGGATGTGCACTTCTGAGAAGTCCCATACTCGGACGAAACGGCCGTTTAGTGCTTTCAGGTCCTCGATGGTGGTCTAGCTTTAACTGACTCATGATCTCAATTATTAAAACAAATATAAACAATTTTCATCTGATTAGAGATAAAAATATTTCAAATATCTCATTGGATCAAGTTATGTAGTGAATAATAATTGTACATAACAGTTGTTTACTGATTAGTCGTAGAATCCAAGATTCTGAGATGGTGGAGAAAATTTGTAGTTCAGGTGGATGATTTTGGTGGAGTTTTGTTCTCTGAGCTGGATGGTTTGGTCATGGAGCTTTCATCGTTCTTCTGAATGACATCATCAGTACAAACTTCAGATAGAAGTGAAGTGTTCGAATCAAACCAATAGGAGACACAACCAAAACAAAGAAGTAAACAATGATAAATTTAAGGTCAACAAGAACCAATCAACATCGAGGTGCACAGAACAAGCTGTGAAACAGATATGGAGAAACTCGAACACTTCACTTCTATCTGAAGTTTGTGCTGATGATGTCGTTCAGAAGAACGATGAAAGCTCCACGACCAAACCATCCAGCTCAGAGAACAAAACTTCACCAAAATCCAAGATTCACTTTTCACCCTATTTATTATTTGTCAGCTGGTTATACTTGTTATTTTTTTTTCTTGAACTTGAACTCAGTATCTTCTGTTTCAAACTCTTAAGCGTTAACCATTTAATTGCTGAGTTCAGATAGCCATTAGTTTGTTCAATAGATTTGAAATTTATCTGCGTAGGTTTGTATTTTCATACTGTTAATGTTCAGAATTGTAATTAAACAGACTCATATTGGAAGAAGCGCTGGAGGTGATTAGGACACACATTCAGGAAAGCATCCAATCACATCACAAATCAATCCCTCACATGGAATCCTCAAAGCTAAAGGAAAAGAGAAATACCAAATAACACATTATGTTAAGAAATGGAAACAGATATGAGAAGAATTTTTAAAAAAATTGGATAGAACTAGAAACGAAGACCAAGGCGAGAGTGAGTTAAAGAGTTCCGGTCGGCGTCCTATGATCCATTGGGGTTTTACAGTTGTAAGTAATTAGATAAATAAGTAATATGGGATATGCGCATCTTGAATCATTTAAATTTTATTTCATTTATTATTCAACTCTTTCTATATCAATATCAGATGGGTTTTGTGGATATTTTAGTAATTTTAATAGTTGAGATCATGAGTCAGTTGAAGCTGGAAGCACTGGACGGCCGTTTCGTCCTATTGTGGGACTCCTCAGCAGTGCGCATCTGCGACCTCGCCCCCTGCTAGACTCGAACCCAGGATCTTCTGGTTTCGCGCGCGAGCACTTAACCACTAAACCACTGAGCCAACATCCAACGGTGTTAATGTTTAACTTCAACTAATCCACGGAATTGAGTGACATATCCATCATTGTCTTCAGTGAATTACTATCTCACATGAAATTACATGTTCATATTTAAGGCATAAATCATTAGTATTCGTTGATAGTTTACATCCAAAAAATATCTTAGATAGACAACTATTAAAAACCATAAAGTAATCAACATCTATTTCACTATATTCATTATGTTTCTAAGTTATATACACCCATAAACTCATTTTAGAATCAAACATTATAACTTTCAAATGTCATAGTAAGTATGTAATTATTAAATTGTTGATTTATTCAATTACTGTTACTTATTTTTTCAACTTCAGTGAATCTGTAATTTTACCCAGACTATCACTCATTATTCACTATAAGTGTTTTTTCTTAGACAATACTACTACCACTACTACTACTACTACTACTACTACTACTACTACTACTACTACTACTACTACTACTACTACTACTACTACTACCACTACTACTACTACTACTACTACTACTACTACTAATAATAATAATAATAATAATAATAATAATAATAAAGTTAATTAATACACTTTTCAGATATTGTCTTACCATCTGGGATTGTTATGTGTAAGTGTTTTTTTTCATAATCTAAGAAAGTTAGTTTCCAGATGGTTAGTGGTTATTGAAATCTATTCTACAATTATATATATATATATAAATTGAATGTTCTGCTTTCCAATGATAATACTTATGATATAATTTGAAATGCATCACCTGTTTATCAATAAACTAATGTGTTATCTTCATTAAAACAAATTTCATTTATTTAATTATCATATTTTTAAAGTAGTTACTAAGAAACTACTTATATGATATTGTTATATTCTCTGTTTGATTAATATAGAATACAGTATACAACTATAGTACTCAAGTCAGTCAGTCAGTCAGTCAGTAAGCTACACGGTAAGACCAGACACATATATTGCATCAGTCCAAGTTGCCGTACCTCATTAACACAACAAGATGAACACCAAGTTCATAAAAGTACTTCATTCAGAGGTGGTAATTTATAAAAGAAAGATTGCAATAAAGATATAGTACAGGAAGAAAGAATTAGTTCGTAGAAAGAAAGATATGAAGCGATTTTAATCTCTTAGTTTAAGGGAAGATAGAGAGTGTATACACACCTACACTATTGTGATCGATTCTGAGCCGTGTCGCCAAGAGTCTCCAACCATTGGTTAAGATAGTCACGTGGACCCCAACCAAGTAGTCTGCATCTACCAACATGGTTCAGACCAGAAGTTAGTGACTTCAAGCACTGATGCCACGTTTTGGTTTGGCCACCCCTAACTTTCTTCCAACCATCCCCTACACTACTCAGCATTGCACGTCGTGGCAATCGGTGTTTGGGCATACGTAACACGTGGCCCAATCATCCCAGTCGATGATGATTCACAGTTTCATCAACTGATTTACCATCATTCCCTAATGCCCTGAGTCTAACCTCACCATTACTTACCCAGTGGTCTCAACAGATGCCAGCAATAATTCTAAGACATCTGTGGTCAAATACTAGTGACAAGTATCTTCTATTGTTAATGGCCACGTTTCTCAGAAGTAAAGTAGAACAGAACGAACTGCCATGCAGTATACTCGTCCTTTTGTTGATAGACGGATATCCCGCCTTCGCGACAGATGACGTGAGTTGGCTATGGCGAAGGCGAGATATCCGTTGTTGCTACCTTGATATGGTGGTCGGGCTTGCCTATCGTGATGAAACAACCGAGCTATACTGGCTAAAACAACCGTTCCTCAAGGTCCTACCATGCCAGAAAGGCCGGTTGAAGAACGGTATGACTAAAAGCAACAAACCCAAGGTCCGAAGGCGAAGTCGTACTGCTGACTGTACAGAGGTGTGACGACAGTTAGGTGTTTCCCTCAGAGAAGCAGCATGACAGCGATGCTGTTATCCCATAAGGAAGAGTGGGTTTGGAAAACGTTGACCATAGAAGTGCACACCTCGCCTTATTCCACGGATATCCGTCTCCGGCGGTAAGGTCTCAACAAGTACGGAGCTAACACAAGACTTACCCACAAAAAGATTGTGTATAATCGACCTCAATCAGTTGTCCCTTAGACACTGCGCTCACGCTCCTAGGTCACTAAGACCACCTCTAATCCAATTTCCTTTTCAGGTACCTCCAGAACAACCCTTCCACAGTGTGGGCAACCGGGAAGTGATAACCGCTCTCATACCACTAACAGCACTCAAGACCACTATAGTATTCAAATGTATAGAACCATCACAGTTACAAAATCAGAAGACAGAAGAAGGAAGCTGAAGAAGTATTTGTTGGATAATGAATCAAAATGTATAGAAAATTATGGGTATTTATTGATATCAGAGTTTATTATAATGTTATAACGCTTGGTTTTCACTTCGTCTAATGTTATAACGGTTGGGTTTCCACTTTAACACATATGGGACGTTAATTTGCCTTAGACGAATATCTACATTAGATTCCCTCCGAGTGTCTATTCTACAGGACATCAATACAACTCAGATCAAGAACACGTGATTAGCCTGACCACAACGTAAATATATTTCCACACCAAAACCCGACACAATCTAACAACAATGAACAATCAATAATAAGTGAGTAATAATAATAATAATAATAATAATAAGGATAGAGGAATATAATAATAATAATAATAATAATAATAATAATAATAATAATAATAATAATAATAAGAAGAAGAAGAAGAAGAAGAAGAAGAAGAAGAAGGAATGAATTCATAGGATTCCAATTACAGGATAATAAAGAAATTTAGGGTTTGTATATTGACATGAAATGGGTGACTGTGACTCATGATCAAAACTAACGCACATACTCAAATGATTAGATGATTAACTCATAAAACATCAAACAAATTGAATTAACTGAATGGACTATTTATTTTTTTATTGAGATCATTAATCGATCAATGTAGGACCACCATTGAAAGCCTGGAGGCACTGAACGTTCGTTTCATCCTAGTATGAAATTCCTCAAAAGTGCTCATTCACGGTCTCGCATGCGGGGCTTGAAACCAGGACCTTCTGAGGAGCTCCATACTAGAACAAAACGACCATTCAGTTCTTCCAGGTTTTCAATGGTAGTCTTATAGCGACTCACGTGCTAATGGGTTTATTTTCATTTAACCCAGTTAAGCCCTTTTTGTTAACTTATTTAGTGGACAAAGTCATCCATGATATAACAACTTGTTGTACTATCTTTATTATTATGCTTGTATGAAATACATATGCTTGAACATTGTTTAGCGCCTACGCATGTATTCATTCGGCTAGCTTCATTATTAACTGCTTAATCTATTCGCTGACTCATCCATTTTCCTATACATATATATATGTGTACATTTGCACCCATTAACTACTACAACAACTACTACTACTACAACTACTTGCTACTACTACAATCGTAGTTCGCTTGCTCATTCATTTTGCCTCTCTGCTGTCTGGTCCGAATTATCTACTAAATAAACTGTAGTAGCTGCTTCTCTTTGCCTTCTGATTTCAAACATCGTTGAAGATTATACGATAACGGTTCGAGGGTGATTAATTATAGAAGCACAGCCACTACAGAATTGGTAATCCCGACGTGAGAACGGGAAGCGAATTTTGGCGAAATAATCAAATCCCAAAAATCCGATTCTTTTCATCTCAATTTGGATTATCAAATGAACTATAATTGCAACTGTGGATTTATATTATTATTCTAATTACACTTACATTATTTCGCAAACATTATTAAACGTGACAATTATAAATCATAATAAATAACAATTATCCATAAACAATTGATATATTGGTGCAATTTAGTAAGTCTGTTCCATTTTATAAATTGTGCCATTTTTTTATTATCATTGTTTTTGCTCATCTATTCTTCCTTGTGACTGTTAAGTTATTTTCGTGTGCTACTTAATTCTTATAAGTATGTCTTATGAAAACACAGTTTTAAGCGTACAGCAAGCCTCGTCCGTGAGGTCTCTTAACCTCCCTGCCCCTTCTTTTAAAATCACAGACCCAAAACTTTGGTTTATAAGACTTGAAAATTATTTTCTCGCTAACCGCATTCTTTTGCAAAAGGATAAGTTCGGCCTGACAAGCACACTACTCCCAGACGAAGTAGCTGACAGCGTTCGAGAGGCACTAGCAAAACCAGACACAGAGAAACCATACGACGTGCTAAAAGAGGCAGTAATCAAAACTCTCTCTCTCAGTGACCAACAAGCCGTCGAACAACTCCTTAGCCAAGTTCAAATTGGAGATAGAACCCCATCACAGCTAAAAAATTATATGAAAAGTCTACTTGGCGATAGACACATTGACAATAATCTCTTTTATCAACTGTGGCTCCGCCGACTCCCGGCAAACATACAGCAGATCCTAGCTGTGGGAGATACGGATGCTGATTTAGACAATATAGCAAAGATAGCCGATAGAATATACGAAAGAAGCAAGCAAGCAAGCCCTCCACTACACAACGTGACAGTAGATGATAGACTTGATACTCTACAGAAGGAAATAAATGTTTTATGCCGCAAACTCACAGAATTAACGCAGAGAGAAAAACCACGAAGGTCATCGCGAGATCGCTCGCGTGAAAGGACCCGGTCAACTTCTAGACGACGCACAACTCCCGCGATATGTTGGTATCATCAAATGTTCGGCTACAGGGCTAGAAAGTGCCTACAACCTTGTAGATTTAACAGGGCTAGTAACCGATACTCACGAGTATCAATGGCAACGGCATCAACACACATAATGCCTGAAAATAGTCGCCTCTTTTATATACAAGACCGAACCACTGGCGCACAATTCTTAGTTGACACTGGAGCGGAAATTAGCGTAGTACCTCCATTTAACGAGGAAAGAAAAAACATTAATCCGTCATTAGTGTTAAGAGCAGCAAACAAATCAGATATTAAGACATATGGCAAACGGAAATTGTCCCTAGATTTTGGACGTGGCGCTTCATACCGCTGGAACTTTGTCATAGCAGACGTATCGATGCCCATAATAGGCATAGATTTCTTATGTAACTTTGACCTGCTAGTAGACTCTAGACGACACAGACTTATAAACGGCAGTCAAACCACTTCGATAAGAGGAATACTTACGGAAGCCGTTTCAATGAACCTTGTGATAGATAAAAGTCGTGGTGATCCATATAAATTGTTGTTAAGGGAGTTCCCTGAACTCGTAAACGTAACATACAATAAAGCGGATCTCAAACATTCTATTCAGCATCACATCGTAACGAATGGTCCACCAATCAATGCAAGACCAAGAAGGTTAGATCCCAAAAGACTAGCCATCGCAAAACAGGAATTCGACAAGCTAATGAAGCTAGGCATTATAAGGCCATCGAGCAGCCCGTGGGCATCCCCGCTACATATGGCCCCGAAAAAGAATGGAGAGGTTAGGCCATGTGGAGACTACAGAGCACTGAACAAACAAACAGTAGCGGACAGATACCCTATACCGCACATCCATGATTTCACCTACAGTATTGAGG